ACATTTCTCTAGGAAACTGATACTTGAATTGTCATCTTCATAATTCAAGACAATATGCTCCATATATTGCCACTTCCGCCCACACAATTATCAAAGGATGAATCACTGAAATAATATGTCAGTGCAGAAAAAAATTCATATTCATAAATTTTGAACTGCAACATGTTCTTGTGTATATTCTAAATTCATAATTTGAAATCAGCAGCCAGATTTTCCCCCATATTTTGATGATATGAGCCCCCATACTATTGATCACCTATTTTTTTCATCGATCTGCATAAACTTTTACAAATTACACTTTAAAGTACTGCAATTTTTCTTCTCTTCCTCAAATTTAATATCATAATCAATATTTCAGAAAATCTGAAATTTTAAAGAACTTCACTAAAAAGTTTGTCATTCTAATAAAAATAATTTTCTGTTCCAGTTGGAACTGAACCAAGGAATTTGTTAATAATTTCAAATAGACCCACACCAATCACATTCTTTTGAGCTATTGCAAAAAATGAAGTCAGGAAACAGATTTTATATACTATTGAAACATGTATTTGTGTTTTAAGAAAATATTTTATAAAAATCAAAAAGTGTTTTTAGAAACTCTGGATAGTTTAAAATGCCTTTTTATTGGTACATTCAAACTTTTATAAAAATATTAGTAGTGGTCCCAGTTTGAAGATGCTAAACAAAATTCAGTACCAAAAAAGAGCGAGATTTATTCATTATAATCAATTCCCTTAGAAGCCTAAAAGGACTTTTGAGACTGTCAATAGAGATCTTCATTTCTGATATTTCCTAATGCTTTGCAACAAAGCCAGAGTAAGATATTCACATAACATAGCCACAGCTGTTTTGCTTACATACCGAAGATTAATACTGTTATGAAAGCTGTTACAAATTATTATGATATAATAATGAACAAGGACCTGACATTAAATTTTATGCTTAGAAGGACATTAAATTAAAAATTTTTAATAGTATTAAATAATAGTTATTATAATAATAATAGTTATTATAATAATAAATTAATAGTTTTTAATAGTATTTTCTTTATTTTAAACTGCTAGACTGATGCAAAATTGCATGCTCTGTTTAAAGAAAATTTTTTTTAAAAAATTACAAGCCGCCAAATTTGAAGAAACAGGTTGCTTTACACATGATATATACTCGTCACCATTTTATACAAATGTCTTCCAGTGTTTTACAAGCTTACATATTCCTTCTTTTCAGAAACTGCACGATTTTTCTGCAAAGAAATTTGAGAATGAGGTTTTTATAGTTTTCGATGGATTAAATCTTCTTACCATTCATCATTCTGTAAAGACTGGAACAGATGAAAAACCTAAGTAAAGAGGACCTGGAAAGTATCACGTTTGCTGGAGGACTTTTTATTTCCAGTCCTTCAACTCTGACAGCAACAGTCAACCTGTATTGATATGACTGACAATAATGCCTTTTTGAGTGGTTAAAACCACACAGTTTTTTATCAATTTTCCCCGCTGAATTTTCGGAGTCACTCACAATATTTGTTCACTGTGGTTTGTATGTTTGGCCACAAGGGACTAACTTATATGAAATTATTTCCTAGCTATTCCAACAAACAGACAGCAACATCTTCATTAGATAAAAGGCAGCTTTTGCCCCATGGGCTCCAAAATTTCTTTTGCTACTTTTCAGCTCCTTTTCCATTTTATGTTTAATATAGTTCTTTTTCATTTAATAGCAATGTCTTTGTAGAGATCAGCAACCCTATTGACATCAGCTTGGTTTGGGTGCCATTTTAAGACCATTGCTCTGACATACTCCCACTTCTTCAAAAGATCTTTAATTGCTCCTCTTTCGTCTTCCTCTTTTTCAGAAGGAAACCATTTCGGCCGCTTTTCTTGGTGTTCTCATTCAAATTTCTGGAGTTCTCTGCCTTTAAGTCACCATCAGGTTCCATATGAGCTCTCAAGGTATCCTGTTCACCTCAATCCAGATCTCTCAAGTGGTTACAATTTATCCATATTCCAGGGGTTCCCTATCACCCCCTCCTCTCCCTTGAATGGGAGTACACAGCTTTCGCCAACAAACCAACTGTTGTGAGTGATTCTGACCACGCTTTTCAATAATACGGATAGCTTCGAGAATGTCAAATTTTTCGATCCAAACGTCTTAAAGTCTTTTTGAGGAGATTGGCAGCTTCAAAACACGTCAGAAACAGCCACGGGTACAATTATTGAAACCTGCGATAATCTCTTGAGCCATGGCTGATCAGTCAGTCGTCTCGGAGGGTAAAACTGCACTGCAGCCAGGGAAGTCTATCAGCAAATTATCTTCAATGTCCTTTGGGTGCCCCGTGTGCAATGTCGAATGCATCATGATTCATGCAGTCATTGGTACAAAGTAGTCCTTGATGCTCGGGGCACAAACTTCAAATAGCCTTCTTTGAAAAGAACCTGCTGACCATGCCCTCTGTTAATACCACACTGGCAGTTTCTCTTGATTAGGAATTTTTTTTAAATGCCTAGGATTCAAGTGTAAACGAGAAGTGGTTAAGCTTCTATCACTAGCGTTAGCCCCAAAGTATGTCAATTGGTCTTCCATGGGTTTATGCCCAGGAAACCTTTCTCATCTTTCGTGATGTAGGTACGGTTCGGCATGTGCTTCCAAAACAAACCAGTTTCATCACAATTAAATATTTGTTGTGGACAATACCCTTCGTTTTCAATGAATTCTTGAAATTTGATAGGGAACCTATCAGCTTCTTCTGCACTAGCAGACTCACCGTGCATGACCACAGTTTTAATGCCAGATCTCCTTTTAAACTTTGCAAACCAGCCAGTGGTAGTTCTTGAATTCTAGATTTTCGGATGACAAACCTGGAGTTTGTTCATTCAATTTCTCTAGCCTTCTCTTGAATGATGGCCATACTAGTTACAACTCTTTTCATCTCCCGTTCATTTATCCAAACTAAAAGCAAACTCTCATTTTTCATAGATGGCACTTCTTTGTTCTCAGATTAATTTTCGTTACTCCTTTAGGCGGCCTGAGCTTCTTGATGATATCTTTCTAGTTAGGATTGACCTACTGTAGAGCTCAAGCCGTACTGCCTACACATCAGCTTTTTGTCACTCTCTACTTGTTATAATCTTTGCTTGTTTTAATGGTGAGCACAGTTCTTTACTCACCTTTTAGGTCTCATAATATTGTCAGAATTCAGTTTTTTTTACAATGGTTAGAGAACACATAGCAAATCACAATGACAAACCAACATGGTACACAATTAGTATGTCGTCGCACGCTGCCGCGCTCGTACATGCTGCCCACTGCACATGTATGAATGATGACGTGTCAGCGCACACCATATCCTTTTCAGGACGAATTGAGGCCTAGTACAGGTTTCCGAAGCCTAGAGGTTTTCCTTAGATTATTTTTGTTCGTTATCCGAAATTGTTCGTGTCCGAACAAAAATTTTCCTAAAGTATTTTTGTCTGATTTGTTCGTGCTGAACTGTTCGTTAACCGATGATCCATGTAACGTATTTGACACAAATCGGACTGTTCTGAAACATACAAATAGTTTTCCATATTTGAATTCTACGACTCAAATTACGCCAAACTACCAAGTTTTGTAAAAATCGCACGAGTAATTTTTAAACAGATTAAACCTGAATTACACTTACTGAATGACAATGCACTGGTGCAAGGAAGATAAAAATATTTTATTTTGGGCAATGACAAAACATCGCTTTTCAATAGCAAAGTTTGTTGATTAAAAGTGAAAGGTAACCATTAAAAGTGATATGCCATTTTGCTGAATGGCAACAGTTTAGTTCCTAGGAGATAAAAATGTTTTATTTTGAGCAGTGTTGCCACTGTTTGCTTTTAAATCACTAAGTCTGTTAATCAAAGACCCATTAAACTCATAAAAAATAGGAAATAAATCAAAAACAAAATTTATTTACATGTTTGGATGGAGCATTGGTTGGAGCTATTATGTGTATTCAAAATTTGGTGGCTCTAAGTGCTGCCATTTTTTTTCACAATGTGAGAACCTTACAAACTTACATACATACATAAAAATTCTTCATTATTTAATAACAGAGATGTGGCAAGGCACTTTACTTTTGGCATTGATCTCAAATGGAGAATTTTCCATTTACATTTCAGTCTGTGTTTGGAAGTGACGAAATAAACTACTTTGGTTTATTCAGTAAAAACTAGCCCATAACTGTGCTGTATGAAAATGTAAGCATAAGGTTTACTGTCCGAAAAGCAATCATGGTATGCTGGTATGCAAATACAATTAACTTTCCAAGTGCAAGACAATGCTGCATAAAAGTTAGTGAGGGAAAAGAGAAAAGGATTACTAAGAGGAAATCACAGAACTATTTGCTGCTGAACTGCTATGATGTGACGTTAGTGGAAAACAAAAGTAAAACAATTTATCCTATTAATAAAGACATTAGTGCTATCTGCAGGCTTCTTTTAAATAAAAATCTTTTTATGACTCTTTTTTAATACTTTGCCTAAATAGCTTTTGCCATTCAAGATAAAAACCTAGTAGTAGTATTTAGAATGCAGTAGTATTTAAAATGCCTAGGGAAAATATCTGGGTATTTCATAATTCCCTAAATGTGCCAGGCATTCTACATATTACTAAGACATTCTACAAAATGCCTGTTTTTCATAAATTGAGTGTAACACACACACATATATATATATATACCAACTACTATATTAAAAATTTTATAACAAGTATAATATCAAATACTTTTAAAATTTCTTTCTTATTCCTTTTCAATGCTTAGGTTTCAGAGAAAATGCAATGAAATGTCTTTCAGTATACCTCAAAATTAATTTAGAAAAGAATAAAATCAAAATTCAGCATTTTATTTTATTCTTTTCTAAATCCAAGTCCTATTTCTGTTGTAACAATAAATACATTACAAAACTGAAATTTTTCATTTTTTTGGTCAAAAAAAAATGTATGAAAGAAGTACATGGAAGGAATGGGGCAAATGCTACACAATTTAAATTTATTCAATTACAGTCTTTGAAGCATAAGAATCAGTCCGAAATGGTCTGTTTGAGGAAAGAAGTCAACTGGTACAGCTAAAATTGGATAAAAAGGTTTTCCGAAGTGGTCACGTAGTCCACAAGGCTTGCATAATCTAAAAATTAGAGTTTTATTCTTTAGTCTCTATGCTATATTTTTAAATTCAATATTATGAACAAAAAATGAACAAGTAGAACAATAGATAACTTTATAGAAATAAATGCATGATAATTTATTCTGGAAAAAATATATACATTCTATAATACCTTTATAAGAATGTATGTAAAAAACTATTCATCTTAGAGTTGTAGCATGAAAAATAGTAATTACTTCGAAAAACACAGATATTAATTACAAAGTTTACGATTAAAGTGAATGAAAAATGGCATATTAAAATACACATAAAGCTACAAATCTAATAAAGAAAAAACCGAGATTTTTCAATACCCTTTTAGAAAGTCCCCCCTTTTTAAATTTCTTTTTAGCATAAAATTTTAACAAATATTTATCTACAAAACTGCTCATCAGTGCTCATCTATTAAACAACTGATATTTTTAGGTGTATTTAATGGTGTATTTAATCATGGCAAAGCACACGAGGGCTATCTGCCTAAGGGGAGGGATGCCTTTCATGGAGGACTTTCTAAGGGAAACTGGCTTGTATACACGTTACACATGGGGAAAACCATGAAAACGCCCATGCAGCCAGCCCGTTCGCAGGATTCGAACCTCGGACCGAACTACCAGTGTTCAGCAACTTTACCGCTAGGCCGCTGGTGGGCCTGATATTTTTAGATACATATTCATATATGCATTCATATACTATTATAACTTTCCCCAGCAATACCTAGTTCACTTTTTTTTTTTTTTTTTCTCTTGGCTCTACCATTCAGTGCTGTCAATAATTCTGCATTATTGATAATTATCATACAAATCTTTGAACAATATAATGTCCTGCTGCTACAAAACCATGATTTAACATTTGCACACCATCTCCCCAGCATAAAAGCAGACAAATGATTTACTATTCAATACAAATAAAAGCTATGAATGATTTACTATTCAATACAAATAAGAGTTATGAATGATTTACTATTCAATACAAATAACAGCTATGAATGATTTACTGTTCAATACAAATAAGAGCTATAAGTGACTTATAATGTCTCCAAGAATGACATCTATATACACGCTCATTTCTTCTATAATTTTCTTGATTTCTTGAGCTGATCCCATACTAATGCCACATATTTAACAAATAAGCCTCGACCTTTCCACTCACACTTCTCCCTATGATCTATTGTTTTTATTAATAACTGTATGATGCTCATTGAATTTATGGTACAATCTGAAATTCATCAAATATTAGAAACACATTTGCCAATCTACTGTACTCAAAAATCAGGAGAATTTTTTCAATAAAAAGATTTTTAAAGAATAAAAATGCATAGAAAGAAAATACATTTTTCAACAATGAATTAACTTTAAATAGAGACTAATTAATATCTGAAAGTTCAGTTATTAATTAATTCTTAAATGCAAATAATGCAAAAATACTTACATGTAAAAACATATTTTTATTTTTTGTACCTTTTAATAGAGAAATAATTTAATCAATTTCACTAATCATTAAATAATACTTTCAACAATATTAATCTGATTGCAAATATAATAATGAATCTGAGTGAAAATTGTGTAGAACATGAATGAGGAAAATCAGCTGCAAGAGGCAAAAGTTATACGTCAAATAAAATAAATTTGTCTTACAGATAAGCTACAGTAATTGGAAAATGCCCTTACAACAGTTTGTCCAAAGGATTTGAATCCGAAGGACTATTAGTTTCGTTTTGGCATTTTGCGTCGGATAAATGTCGGTTCACTTTTCAAACTGTTGCCATAAAATGTTAGAGTCCTGCATTATATTTGAAGAAATTAAATAATGAAAAATCTGCGTAAATGTATGTATATTTCTCGTATTGTCATAAAATAACGGTACATAGAGTCATCGAATTTTGAATAACGTAATCCTCCAACGAATATGAGCATGTGGAAGACCAAATTTGAAATTTGAAATTTGTTTTATGATCGATTTCCTATTTTTTAAAACTTTGACTTTGACGAATTTTTGATTAACAAACTCAAGGATTTCAAAGCGAGCAATGGCAACGTTGTGCAGAAAAAACATTTTTATCTCCAGCGCGTGAGTCTCTGTATCGGAAATTCTAAAGATATGCTCGTTTTAAAACTATTTTGCGATATTGCTGTTGCACTGGATCTTATGGTTTAAGTGCGAGGAACATGATATTTAATAAAGAAAGGTAACACACAAAATGTTAAAAAACGCCCCTTTGGACGTAATTTAAAATCTGAAACATTTCAGATTTTTTTTTTTTTTTTTTTTTTTTTTAATGGGGTTTTTTTCAAATGGCCCACATTTTCAATGCCTTTTTCTAAATTGTTATGAAAAAAAAAAATTATAAAATTTCTTCAAAATAGATGGTCATTGAAGTTCTAGATAAACATTTCTTTAAAGGTAATCAATCAGTGTGCAGATACATTTTTCAAAATTTTTCTTATTTCAACATTATGCAGCTGTTGGAATTGTTCCAATTTTCTCTTCCTTTCAGAACTCTTTTCAAGATAATAAATATCAACAAAGCATTCATCCGCACTTATTGGTACAGAAGCTGCTCCTTTTTCAACAGTTAAATTTAAAAGGTGACAGGTATACCTCATAATTTGCAAATCTGAATTTTCTTTTTTTAAGATGCCTGCAGCTTCAGTCTTCAAGCCTGCCATTTCTGGTGCATGTCAGCACTAGGTGCTGAGGAATTATCCGGAACTATCGCATTTCCTTTTAAAGTTTTAAAAATTAGCTGTGCTATATTAAAGCCAGTCGCTTCTCCATGTAAAGTAGGGACAGAAAGTAAACTACACTCCAATTTGTGAAAATCTGGATTTAAAAAATAAATAAAGAAAAAGAAAGAAAGAAAAAAAAAAAAGAAACTGAATATAGTTTTGTATCCTTATTATAGCTTCCATCCATAGAGGGGCAGAATGCAATCAATAATTTAAGATTTATTTTTCATATCCATTTCTTTTACAAGTGCAGTCATTTTTATCCTTGCACTTGGGTATTTCTTAGTGATTTTTTAGTGTCATGAAACTTTTTTCTAGATAAAGCTGCAGCATGATCTGATGCATTCAATGGCAGGTTGTGCTTCCAACAGATAGGTAGAGAACAGACATTCAGCATTACTAACATTTTGGTCCTTTGTTTCCAAAAAAAAATTTTAATTTTTTCCTGTGCACCTCATGTTGTTCTTGTGTACACACATGTTTAAGAACATCGGACCTTCCACCATGTGAAATCAAAAAATCGCAGTGATAAAGGGTAGACATCGTACATGTATTACATTTCCTTTACAAAATAATAGAAGGAAAGTCACTATATGATTTTTGAAAAGTACATAACATTTTGCCTTTGTCACAGACATAACTAAGATAAAAGATTGTAATTCCTTAAATTGATTCTCTGAAGTACTTGGAAGTACTCACAGCACTAACTGGCCAGACAAACAAAATAACAACCTCAATCTTGCTTTGTGCTCATTGCCTAATATACGCCAGATAGCTTGCAGTGGTGCTTGATGCTCATTTGGCAAACTAGAACATGAAGTTTTTGGACATGTTGTGTTTGGTGTTTTGGACTCTCACACATAGACTCCAACCTGCAGCAAAACCTGTTAGTAGTCAGTACGCGAACAACATTTTTACACCTTTGAAAATGTGCACGTAACACATGTTTTAATTAGCCATTCATTAATTTTTTAATTAATCATTAATTGCAATCAATTATATTACATTTAAAATCCATATACATTTATAACTGAATAATTAAAAATATGTCTTGTAAATTATATGCACATTTAATTAGAAATTTTCATTTAACTTCTCAAGTATATGTATTACTAAATCTAGTAATATATGATGGAATCAAGTATTTTAAATCACTACTAATCATAGAAAAATCAGAATCCACAAATCATATATCTTTACTCTGGATTTGATTTTTCCACAGGGAAATTAAATTTTTAAAAAAAATTAGATAACCAAGAATAATACATATAACTATTAAAAAAATAATTATAATTTATTTATAAAATTATGAATACAAAGATTTATATGTAGCATGCTTAGCAAGCTTAAGTTCTGATTTTGAGAATATTGTTTTATAACACAGTTTTTCATTTGTCTGCACATTTATTTTTTCAATCAAAATGGAATTCAATCTCTTTTTTTTTTTTTTTAATAATAGAAAAAAATTCTTTCGCAAGATGCATTTGAATGAGGTATTACTATTAAGACAGCAAGCATAACAATAGATAATACTTTGTATTTAATACGCTCATTCATATTTCTTAATCTGGCAATTTCTCCCCATGCTATATCAATATGCAAATCTACAATTTCTTTCAAATCATCTACTTGATACATAAAAAACTCAGTTTCCACCTGATTAAGATATTTTTATTAATAATGGATGGGAAATTATTCATCAAGAAAAGAACAGATGAAAATGAAACTTCAGTTCTCAAGTTGATATCAGCAACTTCAGCCTGTTTTAGAAACGGATCACTTAGTGAAAATTTATCTGTTATATGTGAACATGCAGTTACAAAAAAGGTTCGCAGAGAATTGAAAAACAATTTCACTTCACTTTCATTTAACCTGGCATTTTTTAAAATATAATCTTGTTTCTGCACCAATCACTAAATGTTCATTTTCTTTTTGTTTACTACACTTTTGAAATGTAATAGATGTTAGAGTAACATCTTTATTTTCTTTAGAAATTGCTGATGGTTTCACGAATCTAACAAATAAATTCATTAAAAGTTCAACAAGTTCTCTTCTCAATTTATGTATATAAGGAGCTTGTTGTTGCAAATTTATATTTACTGTTATAAACAAAGTATTTTTCAAAAATAATAAGTACAATTTGGGGTAGGTAACTGCAACATTTTTTTAATATTTTGCAATATCTTTCCTTTATTCTCACTGTTATCTGGTTGATCATCAAAAAGATTTATCAGAGCATTCCACTGTTCCAAAATCCTTGTTATACAGTCTAAAAGAGACAATCATCTCATACTGTAGTATTTCAAAATTTATGAGATTTTGCATTCTGTCCCAAAATTTGTTGAGCAACTTTGAAGCTGTGCTACCGTTTCGAACTTTTCTCCAAATAAAAATATATATATGTTAACAACATTTCGATTTCTGAACCAATAAATTTTTCAGTAGTGTTTTTTTTTTTTTTTTTTTTTTTTTTTTTTTTTTTTAAAGCTATATACAAGAGGTTGCATGTACAACCTCAGACGATTATATTTGGATGATGCATCCCATCATATTACTAGCATTATCTGAAGAAAATGACAATCAATTTTTCCACTCTAAAACTTTGCTATTTATATGATTAAAACTACCTTCTCTAGTATTATCCATGCATTCTAAAACAGAAATCAATGAAGTAATTATCACTCCCTTTGCTTTACTATAATATATTATGATCAAAAAGTACAGTCTGTTATAATTACTTTCATCAGTACTTAGAGAAAATGATGTATTGCACACTGATTTTATAATATCAGATAAATACTTTCTGCAAGCGTTTTCACAATAGCAGTAGTTTTGGTACGGCTGCAGCTAAATTTTTTTGCTATGGCAGAATCCGAAAACATTGCTTTGAAAAGCTGTTTGGAATGATCTGAAACTGAAATTGGTTGATTATGTTCAATTAAAAATTGAACTAAATAGCATTCGGCTTTTACAGTATCTGTTTTGTCATCTTTTATTAAGAACTTCTTTATTTCTTCAGATTTTACAGTAGCAAGTTCTTTATGCTTTTGACAAAAAACATGCGGCTTACAGTCATCCTTTCCACTATGTGCAACTGAGAAGTCATTGTTGCGTACACTGCAATGTGTGCGATTCACAGAAATTCAGGATACTTTTCAATGCATGGAAATTCTGAAGAATATGAATCACTAAATTTCTGCTTTGATAAACTTGGCATCTTCATTTGAGGCAGCATAATTAACAAAAATCTTCAAGCTGAATCACAATTCACAGCTCTCGCTATAATTTAAACAATGGAGCCAAGGCAGGCTAAATAAGCCCTATACAGCAGCAATGAACCTGGAAGCGCAGAGGAACTATTGATAAAGTGATTAATGGTTGGAGTTACTTATCTACGATTGGCTATTTTTCAAAACCAGCAACGCACTCAACACATAATATATGATGACACGAGTATTCAGCCAATCATCGGATGAATTAGTTGGTTAGATTTTGCATACTGGTTCTCCTACACTGTTCCTGTAAAATCTATAGTCTTTCCCAGACTTTTCCTAGCTCATAGTTTTTCATGAATTTCTGCAGAAACTACGGAGAATCCATAGTCGTTGGAGTCTATGCTCATACACAAAACAGGTATGCACCATATCTCACAGATGAAATGACTTTGGTTTTCTTATATATGTAATCTAGAGAAAACCCAAGTGCTTTTAGATTCTCAAAATCACTGGTACTTGAGTATTATTGTAACCACCTTGGTAGAAGTTGCCAAATTTTCTGATGTCACCAAAGTGTAGCAACCACATCCATTACAATTCTTCAGGTAACCATATGGATTGTACAGTCATTAGGATTTCTGAAGTAGGAAACATGAAAAATGAGCAATGCCCTCACTGGGACTCAAACCTGGACCTCTTGAATATGCACCACGTGTGCCACACCACAAAGGCATGTAGAAAGAAAGGTGGGAGAAAATACTTTATATACACCCCCTTTTAAAGGGCGACTGTGGATTAGGGGATCCAATCACCAAATCTTGGTGGTGAGGAATCATCATCCACCACCTTTTAGTTCAGATGCTATTGTACAGTCAAGGATTTCTTTAAGTGGGAAACACGAAAAATTAGCAATGCCCTGGCCTCTGAAATATGCACCATGTGTGCTACTGTTACACCACATATTCATACAGAAAGAAGAGAGAAAATACCTTGTAGGATAATGGTAAGTTTGCATAAGCAATGTCACTATTTTCTTAATATGCTATTTTAGTTCTATTAGAAGCTCTAAAGGCAAACTGCAATACTTTTGATCTCCAGCTGAGTTTTGACATATGCAATTACAGGATTTGCATTCAAACAGAGAAAATTCTGAGAAATGTTTCCAGAAATATAATAGTTTGCCACAAAGGCAGAAATCTTTATATTCACATTTAATGATGTTGCATTTTGCAAAGCAACCGTTTTCAAAATGCAATTTGAAAAAGTGAAACAAATATGTTAGCATTTGAAGCAGTAATTATTTTGAAAATAGTTGTCTGCCATTTACTACAGCAGTCCTATTTATATACTGCTGGAGCAAAGAATTAATGAGTGTTAACTTTTGACTGGATGAGCTAGAAATGGACAGTAAGACTGTGGTAGACAGGAATAATTACATGTCAAAGATACCATTTGTAAGTAGTTTTATAAATTGTTTCCCAAAATAAATATTGACCTAAAAATAAGATATGTACATGGTGCAAAAAAAAGGGGAGACAGTTCTATTATCTCCCATTCTATAGGCCAATTGACGAAATTCAACTTGTGTTTTTTTGTGTCTTGAAAGCACGACTTAGGATATGTATTAAATTTATATATATCAAGTTTTGTAAGAAGTGCACGAGTAGTTTTTAAAAAATTAGCTTTCAAAATTTTAGCTCCTCAATGTTAATTGAATTTTATATATATTAATATCTCTTTTTTATTAAACTTACTTGATTCTTTGTTTCATACTTCGAAATTTAGGTTCATACTTCGAAATTTAGGTTCATTCCAAATAAAATTCGCCCATTTTTTATGATTTATTTTTAAATATATTTTTATAAATTTTTCGAAGACAATTTTGAATTATAACCTATAAAACTTTTGCCATCATCTTAAAGTAGATGTATTTCTAAGCATAAAAAATTAAGAGTTTTTTATTCAAAATTTAAGGAGATATACGTGAATTTACATTTTGGCGTGTTTTGAAATTTGGCATATTTATTATGAGTGATAACAAAAATGTGGTTTATGCCCTTTGTTAAATATAATTAAATTAAAAGTAATGTTAAAATAATGTTTAAAATTATTTTGACAGTATGAACGATGACTTTTTTCCTGCTCGTGGACAATGAAGAAAAAGCAAAGGAAAATAGGTTGCTATAAATTAAGAAGTTCGCCAAGTGCTTGCTGCAAAGTGAAAAAAATTGCCAAGATAAATTTTTCTAATTTCTCCATAAATTTCTCACCAAAAATTATAAAATTTAATATTTAGGCATAATTTGAGTCATAGAATCAAAATAAATTGGTATGTCATTTGACAAAAAGTCTGATTTTGTGTAAAAATATGTATGTTAGAACAAAGCTATATATAAATCTAATATATATCCTAAGTCGAAGTGCAATTTGAATTTTGTCAATCGGCCCAGTAGAACGGAAAATATACAACTGTCTCTCACTCTCTCTCTCTCTCTTTTTTTTTTTTTTTTTTTTTTTTTTTTTTGTGTGTGTGTGTGTGTGTGTGTACCTACTAACATGTATGATATGAAATAAATAACTCTCCAATTTGAAATTACCATCCTTTTTCTTCTTCAAAAAATCTACAAAATACCAAATATATGTATTTGGAAGTATGAATAATACCAAAGTACCAGATCATATTTTTCGATGCAGATAAAGAAGTATTAAACCAGGCTATATAAAAATCATGAGAAATTTTAAGAACAGTAGAAAGCTGGGAGAAATATCTAGGACATCATGTTGGCAGGAGTATGGTAAAAAATCGAGAGAGTTGGCAACTCTGTAGAAGTATTTCACAAACATTTATAATCTCATCAAGTTTGAAATTGTTTTATTCTGATGCAACAAATCCATGAAATTCTAAACATTTTAATCCAACAGGATTTGGAAGGCTAGATAAATTTTCATACAAATACACAGGCTGTGTTCTTTCCGTCAATCTAGAAGTACCAAGAAGGTAATCCAGTAAAAACTAATTCCTTTAGCAGTGATGCACTATTTCACTCAAAAATCATCATTTCTACAAAAACAGATATTTTAATAGTTTGATTATATGCTACTAGGCTTTTTACTTAGCCCCCTCATTCTAGCCATTTTGTGAGATGTAAATAAAACGTTTTCTTATGTTAACTTTGCAGTTTTAAATGTTCTTATTTTCTCCATTCACTCCCTCCCAACAAACATTGAGAGTGGACTAAAGTGCTCTTTTGCTGCAGTTACCCTCATGTTATTTTTATTATTTATTATACACAATCCATAGCTAACATCATATGAAAACACCTTTTGTTTCCGATTTTTTTTACAAGTTTTATACAGATTACACCTATTAAAATTAAAAAATTATTAAAATAATGTCTGTTATGATTAAAAGCACAAACATATATTAGTCATCCTAATTTACACATTTAGCAAATAGGATGGAATGGTACAGTCCATTTAAATCAACTTGTAAAAGAATATTCTTGAATCCTCAACTGACAAACAGCTTTGTATTTAAGATTCTTATTGAATGGATATAAACATTTTCACAAAAGTTTAGTAGAAAGTAACCACTTTTGTTGTCAAACGGCATTATAGTTGCTTTCAATGCAAATTCAAGACTTTTTTTTGAAAATTCAAGACCCAATTATTTTTTTTTTTTTTTTTTTTTGAAACCTGAACTTTGCATATATTAATAATCATCAGACCATAAATTTAACACCAATTTTTGTTAAGTTTTCCTGCACTGAAAAGTGCATCTTAGAAACAGAAAAGCACAGTAATAATTTAACAACTAGTTTAAAATCAATAATTTTAAGTTTAAAAGTTATGGCATTGAACATTAGGAAAAACTATGAACTGGTTACAAAAATACATTAAGAACATTATAAATGTATGATACTATGGCAACAAGTAAAAAGTAAATAAACATACTGAACAAAGTCTTCCAATGAATTTTGAGGTTTTGTGGATATATAAATTATTTTCTTCAAATGCTTGCATTCACGTAAAGAATTAACAATTGTCTTACCTAATAAGAAAACACAGCAGCATAAATTTTTCATATCACTGAATAAAATACAAAGAAGCAACATAGAATAAAATACTCTAAAGTTACTCTCTATATTATAACTTATACCTGAACAAATATGAAAATAGCTATTATTTCATGTTATTCTTTCACTAATAGAATTAATTATTTTTAAGACAATAATGCTTTAATACATAACAATAAATTTCATATTAATTAAGTATCATAAGTCTTGAGATAAAATGCTTCATCAGTGGCCAAATGATTAAGACTGCCAAAAACTGCACGTTCAACTGGCTTCGACCCCAAAGAAACAGGTTGGCTGCATGGTTGGTTTACATGGTTTTTCCTATCTGTAACCTAAATATAAACCAGTTTCTCTTAGAGAGTCCTTCATGAAGACATCCCTTCCCTTATGTCTTTGTATGCTTTGCCATATTTGAATAACCTAACCTGAGATGACAAGTGCAAAATAATACCTACCCCCAATGGAATTCCTCCAAAAAAAGGATATTTTACTCTTCATCTGATTTGTGAAAACGTTCAGATGAATACAATGTTTTTAATGGGAATTTGTAATTTTGGAAATAAAAATAATTTTTTTAACATATCTGTTAAAAATCAGTTATTTAAAAGCTTTTTGGGGGGGAGAGGAAAACACCCCTAAACTTGATCAAACTGACAAGTATGGCAACAAATAATGTTGTACTAAAGTACATATTACATCATGTCATTCTTTAGTATGATAATTTCTCAATCTGATAATACTCATTTCAAATAATATCCCATAAAAAGTATTCTTGATGCTTTATTAAAAACAAATACTTATATCAATACAATTTCTTTTAAGATTACCAAAACAGTGTTCTAATATATAATTTTAAAAAACTTAACAATAAATAAATAATGTAAATTTATAGAAAAAGCAATAAATAATACTGTAATGTTTTGGCAAGAGACTGAGTTAAACTACACTTCATAAATCTTTTTCATACGTTTTTCAACATTCATAGCTTCTATCAACAGTACTATTTACAGCTTTTAAGTAAGCATAGCTATAAGTTTTAAAATATTTTATTCAGGCATTCTCTTAATACCCTAATCATACTAATTATTAAAGTTTGGGTTTAGCTAAACCCAATGTCACCCAGTTGTTAAGCTTGCTCTTCATGTCCCTTCTCCTCTGCTCATAGTGAGAAGGAAGCTGACATGTTAAGAGCAGACAGATACATGACATATACTGTGTTAAAATATTTATTACTTCATGATACTCTTTAAAAATATTGGTACTTTCTTAAGTTCTTATTATGGGTAATACTCATTCAAAAAAATTATCATAAAAATATTCTTCAAACTTAATTAACTACTTAATTACTAAACTTAATTAACTATACTAATGCAATATCCTCAAACCTTTCTGAATGTGTGTATCAGATATGCATCAGCTGCCAACTGTATCTCATAGACAGGCGTGTCATATATGAATCACTATTTAAACTGATTGCTAGTTTGGGTGCATCACATATGAATTGTAAACAGAACTTTTAATTAGTATCTTTTTTTGCCACTAGATATAGCCCTATGACAATTAAGGTGAAATTTATTGAGACTGCAAAATGTTGCAGTCTCAATAAATTTCACCTTAATTGTCATAGGGCTTTCTTGTTGCATTCTGCTGCAGTATTTTTTATTTCTGATATTGTGTTTCAGAATTAAAGTGGAAATCATGGGTTGAATAATGTAAATAAACAGAACTGGCTATTTATTGTGTCAGGTCATATCACATGAGGATGTCCCAATGTATCTGAATACTCTACATTTTATTTTTGGCCATATGAGGATATATATCCTACTCTTTTGGAAGCTTTATTCATTTCTCTAAAAATTTCGCTAGCAATGAGTCAAATAGTTTGTGTACTTTTTAGTGTATAATTTTTTTTATACTTCAAAAGGCATGTAAAATATAATGATAAAGTATTTCTTAAATTAATTCTCACAACTTTTTGGTGCACATTCTCATGTGCAAATAAAATTGAAATGATTGGACCACAAATTTAATTTAAGCAAATTTTTATAAGATCACCAGAAAGTTTTGTTTTAATCCCTTTCCTTCCGTACTGTTTTTACAATCACAAATTTAATTTAAGCAAAAGTTATGCTTGCAGAAACATTTGGCAAGGTTGATTTATCAACCTGAAGAGAAAATTTGTTGGGCATCAAAAGTTTGCATGAGGAATCTTCAACATCTTCAGCCATCTCATCAATTTGTTGCCGCACTGTATCATTGCTTAATGGGACATTTTTTATAACACTGGATACAGCTGGATGGTGTAAAACCCTTTCTAAAATTTTCTTGACTGATGGTATGAGCTCTCCCCGATTTAGTAATTGATTTTGATATATTATTAGAGGCTACCAAACCATTATTGCACTTTTTTGATGAGGTTGCTAGTACATTCTTTGTCAAAAAAGTTCCAGGACAATTTTTTTTATTTCTGTGTTTGCAGTACTAAAAAGGAACAAATGTTCTTATGTTACCTGTTATGTATTCTTACTTACATGACTATAGCCATGTTTCTGCACAAACTTACTAGGGGGCAGGGCTGTGTTTAGCAACACACCGTTCAGATTGTTGTCGCATTCATTAAGGTGACACAATGGATGCTGATTGTGAGCAAAGAGCGAACATAAAGTTCTGCGTTAAGCTCAGAAAAACCCCTAGCGAAACATGGAACTTGATTAAGCAAGAATATGCAGGTGAGGCACTTTCAAAAAATTGTGTTTTCGAGTGATAAAAAAGGTTTCGTGAAGGCAGAGATGCAGTGCAAGACGAATCGAAAGTTGACACCGATGCAAACGTGGAGTGTATAAGGCAGTTATTGCAGAAAGACCTTAGTGTAAGTGTTGCATATAATATCAGAAGAACTGAATTTGAATCGTGAGGAGTGTCAGAAGATTTTTATGTGAAGATTTAGGCAAACAGAAACTTAATGCAAGAATCGTCCCTCACTCACTAACAGATGAACAGAAAGAGGATAAATGAAGAATTTCTGCTGAACTATTTCATAGAGCCAGATGTGATCCCATGCTTGTGTCAAAAATTATTGTGAATTTTTCTCATTTCCATGACTGAAAAGGTGACTGAAAAGAAAGCTTCATCAAGATTACTGCAGACATCCAATGGGCAATGAGCTTGCAAGCATCGCAGTTGAAGATTTCCCTGCTTGCTTCCAAGACTTCCAGAAACATTGGCAGTTGTGCATAGATAGCCAAGGGGACTACTTTAATAGTAGCTAAGATTATTACTTGGTAAATGCAATTTTCTAGTTTTTTACAACCATCTCCCTGGAACTTTTCTGACAAAGGATGTAAGCTAGTAAGCCTGAGACAGCTGATGCCTTCAGAAACTCGTTCCCGATGCTCATGAAAAATGACAAACGTAAAATATGATGATGATAATTTGTGATGATATTCCACAAAATTAATAATTCATGATCATGATAAAGAACTAGTAAGTACTAGTAAGTGCAATTACCCAGATGACTGACCAAATAGACAATGAAAGTAAATTGAAACTGAGGGAGAAACAAAAACAGAAATGAAGGGAACGAAAAGCAACACAAGGTCACATCAAACATTCATACTGAAAAGCCATTTGATGCATGCGGTGCGATTAATGGCACATGGAAACAGCTGATGCATGCGGTGCAATTAATGGCACGTGGAAACAGCTGATACATGAGCAGTGCTGGTTGGGACTAGAGAAAAATCGAAGGGTCAAATTCTTCAAGGTCATCCTACCCAGAATACAAATTTGTCTCCCTATTCTTTAGAATTGCATGAAGGGAGCCATCACACAAGTTTATTTTATTGCTGGCACACATGATGTAAGCCAGATAATTGATATAATAAATTTTTGGGGGGAGTTTTAAAATTGAGTTTGAGTGCCAAAACATGCTCATCGACCCCTTACTGCCCAAAAACATACCCACTGTGCCCTACCACCCAAAGCAAGTTCACCATCCCTCAGCATCTTCGCACTGCCCCCATTGAGGATCAATTGTTTAGACTTAGCTGCATTAGTAATTTCTCAAGCTGCCATCTGTTTACTGTCACTGATGATCATGGGGTGATGAAAGCAAAAAATATGAAACAAAAATTCACTAGTTGACTTTGAAGTAAAATGAACAATGTTTCAATGTAGAACATTTTGGTTTGAGATGTACCCAAGCAAAAAGGCAGCTACTGAGTTAAATTATTGATCATACATTAGGCATATAAATGATTGTTTCTTCAATATGGAGGTATTTTATTTAGAGCTGAAGTGAACTTAAGAATCACTCCACAAGTTTATTATGAAATAATACCAAATGTGCATACATAAAGCATATTAAAAAAAAGGTTGCTGGTGATTTGGAGATTTGGATTTTGGACCATTTCTGATATTTTACAGATTTTGGATTTTCTGTTCTACTTCAGATATGAAAAAACAGTACGGAAGGAAAGGGATTAAAACAAAACTTTCTGGTGATCTTATTGGGGAAAAAAAAAAGATCTGACCGTTTTCCAAAAATAAACTGGGAAAAGAAATCAGAATCAAATTTGATAAAATGAACTGAAAATTAAATCTTAATAACAATTACTGTGTGCAGAGAGTTTTAGTCAAAGATTATGTGACAGTGCTGCTTTTCTGGAAAAGATGAAAAAGGAATATAATAACATCACCTAAGTGCCTTATCAAATGTCCAGTCAGAAACAATCATTTCTTCCAAGACATGTATTATTGTAACACAAAGATTCAGTAACTTTATAAAAACTATCTTATGGCATGCAAAATAAACTTCAGAATGCAAAACCCTTCTTTGCAAGATAGAACTTAAAAAAGCATTTATACTTGGAAAGAACTTGAAGAGTGAAAAAATGATAAAGATAAAAATGTTTCTTCTCTAAAAAAAGAATCAAGTGTAACACCACATATTCATAATACGAGGGTTGAAACT